CTCCGCAGTCTCCTCAGGTAGTAGAGGCGCTGTTGGGCCTTCCGTGCAACTGAGGTGATATGGTTGCCCCAGGACAGGTCCTCGGTCACAGTTACCCCCAAGAATATAAAAACTTGAGGTTACATTTTTTTATGTTTCACAAAACCAGAATCTTCAGCTATAAAATAAAACAGTTTTGCATCATATCTGTGATTCGCTACAAAGTGAACGTCCTCCAAGAATCAACATTCCAAACTTGTGTCTATAAACAGCTTTTTGCCAGATAGTTGCAAAAATTGGTGATGTAAAAACTATAACTATAATGATAATAATAATAAAATTATTACCAATAATACAGATAGTTCTGTAGTTTCAGTCACAGTTCTTTTTCAACGTAGTGATTTAAATCATACTATAAACTTTTTTTACATTTCAAATACTCAGCTACATCATTTATATACAGATTCAGATACCTTTACATTGGTAATGGCATTTTTATTTATATAACACATTTTATTATATATAAAGGGCCACTGAGTGTGGGTAGTTTTGGCCTTGAATTCTGAAGCTGTGCAAGTCATTCTTCAGTTTCGCTCTCAGATGTACGGTACACGTCATGTGCTGAAATGAAAGGTATGACTTCTGTCATTATAACATATGAGTGGCTTAATTTATACGTGTGCATAACCTTCACATGTGTATTGTAACGGTGTCACTGTGCTCCTCGGGAGAGTGGATAGGTTTGCTGTGCACCTAATGGCTGAGTCATTAAAAGCCACAAAATGTGTGAGTCATCTGTGTAATGTATGCAAAGTCAGTACATCTTGTGCTACAGAGACTGGAGTCACGAATGTGGATGCGCTGGAGTCCTTGTCCAGACTGCTGTTTGACTGGTGGCTTCAGGTCATTTGCTTCACTGCTGGACGTTTCTTCGGGCTGACAGAACTGACAGGAAGGTGTTTGGCTTTTATCCTCAGGCTGAGACAGTCTGTCATCGAAGCCTGCCAGGTGAAAAGCGAACTAAAACTGGCCTGGGATCATCTGTCGAGAGCAAGCAGGTGAGACTGGGTGTCCAGGTTTAGGTTCCTTCTTCCTTTGATCCTCTTTTAGTAGCTCTCTGCAGTGACAAGGTTTTTATAATCACCCTCCATCTTTCCATAGAAAATAGGCCTGATTTGTCAGCCTGTCTAACTGTTCTTCACAAGTACAGCTGAAGTTTAGTCTTTAAACTATATATCCCATCCCTGTAAATTCAATTCAATTCCGTTTTATTTATACAGCATCAAATCACAACAACAGTT